TATAGATAGATATATGTACATATGTATATATATGTATGTATATATATGCATGCATCTACGTGTATATATATGTATGTATATATCTATGTATGTATATATATGTGTGTATATATATACACACATATATATACATATATATACATACATATATATATATATATATATATATATATATATATATATATATATATATATATATATATATATATACTAACTTAGTAAATTTAGTAGATGAAGCACTATATATTGTATGGAAAGATTTCCAAAATCCATTAGATCTGTTTGATAATACTTTCGAAACACTTAATTGTTTGGGAAATAATATAGCTCTTCATCTTACTCACCTTTTATGTATTTTCTTTGTGTATGACTGACCCCACATGTATAATAATACCTTACACTGTAGTGTTCATACGTTACTGGTTTGTGGTATGGTTGAATATCCACTTCTGAAATCTGCCTTTTGCGTTCTTGGTTTTCGTCGAAAATTTAGGACGATTTCTTCATAAGAATTTGTCAATAATTGCTAGGGAAGTTGAAGCGCAAATAACTGGGATTTTCTTTAAGAATTTTTATGCCACTTCTATCCCTTAAAAACTCTACTAATATGCCTTCTTCTCCTAAGGGTTTTCCTCTTTTCATGTCTTAAAGAGCATAAACTACTTCCTTCGTTCTCATTACCTGAATCTGTCAACGTATTCACAGATGGGACTGTAGTATTTGAAGAGCTTATTTGTTGTTGAATTCTTCAACACTTTATCATTATGTTCACTGTGTTTGATTACTTTGTCATGTGGAAATGAAAGGTAATTACACAGTCTGTCATTATATGATCGCTCCTGTCCCTTTACATTTAAATCTCAGTCATTTCTTTTGCTCGGATTTGATAATGTAAAAGCTAATCTTTTGTCGTTGCGTTTGGAGTCCCTGACGTCCAGTTCTGGTTCACTGTCTTTTGTAAGAATGTATTCGTTTTCAGAAAATCTGTTCCAGGTTAGTTACAATACGTTCCCTCTCTTGTCATTTTCGTTTCGTAATGCATTTTGCGGTTTATTGTCATTTGCATGGGAAAACTCCAACTTTCCTTTTGAACGAATCTAACTTTCCTTCTCTCCCTTTCTTGCATTTCCTGGAACCATTTGATATCTTTACTAATAGCTTTGCTCCTATTGGCACCCATCCTCTCCCTCTAATCACCTGGGGAAATGTAAGACAAGCACTACAGGAATTCAATGAACTTTTCAATCACTGATGTTTCTTTCTGACTTCACCAGGATATATCGAAAGTCATAGATCTTTCTTTGTGCAGGTCCAGTCAGTTGTGATTGGCAAGTTTTCTTTTTAAAAAAGAAAAGAAAGAAAGATCTGGTCTAATCATATACACCTGCTTTGTTTAGCATTATAGTCTTTTGGTACATTACGTCATTTTGCATGCATGACGTGACTTTGCCGGAAAACCTATATCGTTTGAAGACCTGTGCCAGGTCAAGTCTGCATCCAGTGGAAGACTTGGGGTGCCACCACCTTGTTGCTGGCGACGAATGAAAATAAATGAAAAAGATGCATAATATATATGTGTGTGTGTGTGAATGGTAAAACATTCTTCCGTGTAGATACTATAGTAAAAAAGCCCGCAATGCAAAAATGAGACTACAGTTTCGAAATGCACCTGGATTCCATCTGCAGGTCTATCGTATATACAAGTGTGTGTGTGTGTGTGTGTGTGTGTGTGTGTGTGTGTGTGTGTGTGTTTATAATTATAAACCTCACTATAACTGAAAGAAATGCTTAAAATGTAAAACAAATAAATAAATCAATAAATGAAAATTTGACCCACCCCGGTATTCTTTTAATAATGCAAGCTATCCTGTCCGACATACTAACACTTTTTTTGATATTGATAATAATTTATCGGCTTCCTTAAGATCCTACATGACTGAATTTACATTATAGGTTTCTTCTTCGAAAGAATAACTGGTTGCTGTTTTGTCCCTTTCCCTTTCTTTTTAATGAGTTTCTTCAAGTTCTTCAATATATTTGAAAGCTTGTGACCTTCCATAAGGCTCTGGAGTTGTGAATATATTTTTTCATGTTCCACTATTGAATGTCCAAGTCCTCGACTTGTTCAGATAGTGTTTAGTCACTTTTGACGATATAATGCACAGGATGAATTGTATTTGGAGCTTTGGATGACGTCGACTCACTAGAGATACCTGGCCAGAGATACTGTGTAGGCCTACTCGAAAAGTTTTTAAGGAGAGGTGATGGCAGTAATCTCATCTCTCAGTCATTTAGTTTGTGTTAAGATGTTATGAATGGAATGGCACCTTGTTAAATATATTCAATGGAGTGCTTAAGTCTACACTGCTTCACACCCTGAAGTTTGAGAGCCCCAGCTGACTCATAGTAAATGCCCATTTTGTCCAAACCTTGTACATCCTACCTGTCCCGAGAGCTTGACATTACCCACATCATCACGAAATGAAGAAATCTGACACTC